TGGACCTAGCCAACCACAATTACACGAAGCAAACAATATTGACCAAAAACAACAAACGAAGCAACCATCTAAGTTCCATGTGTCCACCAAACTTTCTTTAACGTGCATAGTTCCACCCAACCATTTATTTTAAGGAAAATGCTTTGTGCATTTCCGGTTCAATACTCGATGTGCACATTTTATAAAATCAAATAATTATAAAAATAAAATTACAAATTTAGTTTTAAAAGTCATCCTCATAATACTTTTTTTTCTTCTTGTCTTTCCGTCTTCCTTTTCTAACAAATACATTATCTTCTTCTTTTTTTCTTCTTCCTCTTTTTTTTTTTCTCTTCATTTGGAGAACCCAATCTAGGTTCTCTAGCAAAACTTGGGAGAAAAAAAGAAAAAGAAGGTGGGAACTTGGTACGGTTGCCAATTGTCTTATAGATTATTAGGGTAATGATGGATTTGGTGTTTGAATGCTTGATTGAGTTTTGTTGGTATTTTTTCTTACTGTTATTTGGGAAGTGGTTTAGTGAGAGGGTAAATTTTTAATTTTACTTTTGAAATTTTTTTATTTATGCAGTGTGCACCCGTCGGGTGTCGAACCGGTGGGTGCATGAATCATAGTCCATTTTCTAAAATCTAGTGATCTCATTTACTAATTTATTTATCTTTTGTTTTATAAAGGATTGAGTAATTTTTGATAGATTCATTTTTCAATTAAAGGAAAGAGGGATTCTACTTTTTTTTAGTAAAAATGATGGTTTCATTATTCAGTATAAGTTTTGTTGGTTTATTAATTTGAAATTTAAAAAGATAATATAATGAAATTTATTGTGTATTTAAATGATTAAAGTTTTATTTACACCCTAGATATTATTGTTTTTTGTTGTCCACACAATTCAAAATTTTCATTTTTAATCAACATATTTCAAAATTTGGAACCCGTAAAAAATTTGAAAGTTAAGTATCAAAACCCATATTTGGAATCTAAAAAGGTGTAAATTTAATAAGGTGAAGTTTGAATTTTAAATAAATGATCCAATTTTAAAGAGTTTTTATTATATAAGATTCTTTTTTTCTTTTGTTTCTCGCTCGTATCCGGGGCTTCGCCCCAACTAATCCGGATCTGACCCACGTCGCGCACTTGAAAATGGTGGGTGAATCTCCCAACGGAGGTTATTGTGTACACAAAGTCTCGAACTTAAAATTTTGCTTAAGCTGGAACAAGTCGCTTACCACTTGATCCAACCCCTCTTTGGTATATTAGATTCTAATTAGATTTAAATATGAATTTTCAATTTTTTTATCTTACAGATTTAGGAATAATATTAATTCGAATTCATTTAGTTTTCAACTTTTAGATAACAATGAAAAGTCAATGGATAATTACCATTTTAATTTGAAAAAGAAAATATTCAAATATTCAAATAAAATAATAATTTGAAATTAAATTTAAAAAGAAAATATTAAAATAAATTGGTAGATAAAAGAGTCATCTAGACACTAATAAAATTTTACTCCCTTGTTCATTTTTAATAGACCTAGTTTGATTTTTTAACTTTTCAAATATAAATTTTAAATAAAAATTTAACATATTATATAAATAATAATTAAATTTTTTATC